CAAGGAGTACTAATAATTCATAAGCTGTGATGGCACACTCCTATTATTCCAGCATATGGGAGGCTGAGACAGGAGGATCCACAGCCTGGGCCACAAAGTAAGTTCAAGGCAAGCCTAAACTACATAGTGAAACCCTGTCTCAGAAGGATGATGATGATGATGATGATGATGATGATGATGATGATGATGATGATGATGACGACGACGACGACGACGACGACGACGATGATGATGATAGTAATTCATAATGATCTGGGGAGGCAGTTCACCAAGATTCAACAATTATAGATGGACACATAATAGTGCTACAAAATGCATCAAGCAAAAACTGACAGAACAGGAAGAAGAGAGAGAGACAAATTACACTGGAGCTAAAGGCTTCAGTGCTGTATTTCAGTAAATGATAGAAGGAGATGATCAGTAAGGTGATAGAAGACTTGAACAGTGCTATTAGCGAACTTTACCTAGTTGGCATGTATAAAGTGCCCTACCACACGACAGTAGAATATAATTTCTTCTAAAATACACATGGAGGGCTGGGGAGATGGCTCAGTAGAATAAGTACTTGCCTGGCAAGCTCAAGGGCCTGAGTTCAAACCCCGGTTCTGCAAAAAATAAAATAAAATAAAATGCACATGGACCACTCATCAAGATCATGTATTGAATCAAAAACTAGTCTCAGTGAGTTACAGTGATTGATATCATGAAGGGTAAGTTCACTGACCATTTAGAACAAAATTAAAGATCAATAACTGATAACTGAAAAATATCCAAGTATAAGGAAATTAAATTATTCAAACAGAAAAATATTGTTGCCTTTAAAAAAATACCCCAAACTTTATGTCAAAAGTGTTTTATTGCCTTTTAACATTCTAGATATTCATGATGCATATCTTTCACTGATTTGGTGTAACTAGATTTATTTAGCCAGAGGATTGGTTGGGCTAACCTTGAAAGTCTGGACTCTTTCTCATATAGTTTTTAATCCTGAAATAGGTTTAAATGGGCTACCTACATAGTGGTGGTACATCCTATGAAGTCAAGTCCTAGTGGACCTTATGGATGAGGCTCTCTGCTCCCATCAAAGTTAATGAGGGAGGGAACTACTTGACCAGCAGGAGGCGTGACTGGTTGGAGACTCTCAGTTTTATATATTACCACAATTATATAACCTTGGTTAAATCATTTTTTTCTCTTATAAAAAGGAGTTTATGATATCCACAGAATTGCTTTTTAAGTTCAATGAAAAATAGAGTAATATAGTTTCTAGTGCATTTGATAAAAGTTGTTTGGAGTGCTTTTTTTAAATACCAGAGATATCTAGACATGGAGGTGTATGCCTGTAATCCCAGCACTTGGGAGACTGAGGCAAGAAGATCACTACAAGTTTGAGGCCAGCCCAGGCTACATAGAAAGTTCAAGCAAGCCTGAGATACATAACAAGACCCTGTCTCAAAAGAAAAAAACAAGAAGAAGATATCAAAGATAGAGTTGGAGATAACATTATTTGCCATTATTGTTCCCCTACTGTAAATAAAAGTTCTATTCTTAATGCTATAGTTGTAGTAAACAAAGACTTGACCTTGGAGCAAATGAACTAAAGCCAAGTTAGACTTTAAAATTTCACAAACTCAACAATAATTTGAAGTATACTGTATTCAATTCAAGGTAATTTATTGTGCTAACTAACCATAATTACATAAAAGGATCTGAAATTTTAAAATATTATTTTAGAAACTCTAAGGTTTCAAAAATGATTTGGTTAAGTAGTATCTGGAACAGTTTACAGAAAGTACACTTCAAAATTTTTTAGTCAGTTAAGACATCATCAAAGGTCATTTGAAAATGTAGAAAATTCTACATTTAAACAGTTATTCAGATATGGACAGTTAATGATATACCTGTATTCCTAGCACCTGGGGGACTGAGGCAGTAGTATACCAAGTCTGAGACCAGTCTAGACTACATTTTTTTAAAACAATTGAAACCTCTAAGGACTTAAAGAAAAAAAAACAAAACAGACTTCCTTCCCCCATTCTGTATTGACAGCATATATCATTTTTGTGATCCCAAAAATGTATAGGTATTTATCTCCACCAGCAAGCACGTGATCAGATCTGCAGTAAATACTAACAAAGTGTTCTCTAGTTCATTTTATTTCTGACACTGTGTACCCGGATGTGGTGTCACACTCTGCAAGTTGAGGGCCCTCAAGACAAGAGTCCAAGCCTCTGGAACTTCTAACAGGCTTCAGATTGGGGTCCCAACAACCACCCTTTGGGCTAAATTAATTTGCTACCTCAGATCACAGAACTCAGAGGAATACTTATATTTACCATGTTTGTTCATCTAAAAGGATATAAATATAAAAAAAGAAACATCCAATAAAAAAATAAAATAAAATAAAAGGATATAAATAAGCAGCCAGAGGAAGACATAATATGTAGGACAAGTCTAGAGGAGTTCTCGGTACTAGAGCTTCCATCCCCGTGGAGCTGGGATGTGCCACCCTCCCAGCACATGGATGAGTTCTCCTACAACACTCCACATGTTCAGCTTTCCAGAAGCTCTCAAAGCCTGTTCTTTGGGGATTTCATGGAGACTATTGCATAGACATGAGTGAAGCATGGACAACATAAAAATGTGATTGGACAAAACAGGGTATGAGCTGATATTAATAGCCTGAGTGCACACAGGGGCCTCTATATTCAGATACTTCTTGGCCTTTTTGTGCAGCATTCTTTCCTTCCAGATATGGGTCCGAGCCCTTTCTGAAATGGAGCCTTATGACCTACTATGAGACAAGGTAGATCAGAGAATTTCTCTGTGGCCAGCTCTAAGACAGAAAATATTAAGAGTTTGCTTTTTATGACCTGCTTTAAGGAAGAGAAATTCTAGCTTCTGTTGCTTGCCTTGAAGAAAACAGGGAACAGGCAAAAAGTCAGAAATTTTGTTTTCTGGACCCTAAAGCACACCAACATTATAACAGACAACTGTCATTCATCTTTATTGTATACACCATATTGTATTTTCTAATGGAAGATAGCAGTGTTTAACTCTGGAACTGCAGTCTAAGTTTCCAATACCATGTTTATCAGTTGCTTGGTAAAGTACTGGCAAAATTAAATCTTAAGAAAACTAGACTACTCAGTGTTAAAAAAAAATAAAATATTCTGAATATTTCTATTTCTTTATTTCCCTGCCTTGGCAGTTAAGTGATTCATATTTATGATTTTCAAAAAACAGATTCTTGGTTCACCTTTTCTTTAGCATTTCATTGCTCTAAAATACTACTGGAATGGTGATGGGGGGGCCTGCCCATTAGCTCAGTTGTTTTAAATGCCTGCTTAAAAAAGCAATGAGGGGGGCCGGGGAGATGGCTCAGTGGAATAAGCGCTTCCCTAGCAAGCACAAGGGTCTGAGTTCAATCCCCCCATTCCGCAAAAAAAAAGCAATGAAGCTCAAGTTGCACTGGTTTGAACCCAGATACTCCTGCCAAACCAGAAATGCCCTGAAGGCATGTTCAGGCCTCAAAAAAAAAAAAAATTCCTTCTAGAATGGTGGTAGGACATATGCAAAAGAATAAAAGTTGAACCCTGTTAAATTTAAGAGAAGGGGCCGAGGAGATGGCTCAGTGGAATAAGCGCTTCCCTAGCAAGCACAAGGGTCTGAGTTCAATCTCCGGTTCAAAAAAAAAAAAAAAAAAAAAAAATTTAAGAGAGCCAGGCATGGTGATCTACCCTATTATCCCAGCACACTGGGAGGTAGATGCAGCAAGATCCCAAATTTGAGCCTGACCTAGGCATTTTAGCCATTTAGTGAGACCATGTTTCAAAATAAAATAATTTTTTGAGACAGTATCTTGCTCTGTAGCCCAGGCTGACCTTGAACTTGCAGTAGTCCTCCTTCCTCAGTCTTTCAAGTGTTGGGCTTACAGATGTGTGCTCCCACACCTGGCTCAAAATAAAAATATTTGTTTAAGGATTAAAGAATGTAGCTTAGTACAAAGGCCATGGGTTCAATTCCTAAGACCAGAAAAGGGAGCAGAAATAGGCCTTGTGCACAGGGGACTGGTGTGACCAAAGCCTAGAGAGCACACAGTGTGAGTGCACAGTATGGGAAGAATGGCACGTAGTGCTGTGAGAGTGTAAGGCATGTGAGGAAAAGTGAAAAGAAATAACCCAGTCAAATTGTGAAAGCTGTTTTACTTGAGGTGAAAAATTAGTTTTGTGGTTTTGGTTTTATTTTTGTACCAGTAATTAAACTCAGGACCTCATGCGTGCTGGGCAAGCACTGTACCACTCAGCTGGCACCAAAAAGTTGGTTAATTCTCTATATAATAGTCTGGAGTTACAGAAATTTTTAAGCAAGGAAGTAACATGATGTCACTAATAGACTATAAAACATGTGTTATAGAAGAAAGGTTGGATTAAAAGGCTACTGAAAATTGATGCATTTCAGGACATTCTGAGGCATAGCTTTTTTAATAGGAGAGGAAAGCAGACTTTATGGCACATTAATCTTTTCCTGTTCCTGGATTATAGTTGAAGTGTCAGCATACAGATGAGTCAAGGAACTAGGCAGAGCTAAGTGGTACAATGTGTACTGAACATGCAGAAGACCTTGGGTTCAGTCTTCAGCACCCCCTGAGATAGATGAATGAATAAGTCAATGAGGATGAAATATAAATATACTATTTGCTGTTGTCAGGAGGCTGAAACTCCTGTTCTTTGTTCATGTCTCTCCTCCATTCCTTCTCTTTTCTGCAGGAGAAAAATTAGCATCTATGCTAAGGAAATCTAGCTGGTGAATATCAAAATCATTCTAATTGGGAATACAGCTCAGTGGCATTGTGCCTGCCTGGCAAGCACAGGGTCTTGAGTTCAATTCCCAGTACCAGAAAAAGAAAACAGAACAAGATCATTCTAATTTTACTTGGGAATAATTTAATGTGAGGGGAAAATGGCCTTGATTTCTAAATCTTATTTTGATTTTCTTAGATAATTAAGTTGAAAGCAGAAGCCCGACTTGACCTGCTAAAGCAGATTGGTGTTTCTGTGGACACATGGCTGAAGAGCGCCATGAACCAAGTAATGGAAGAACTGGAAAATGAGCGGTGGGCCCGCCCTCCCACAGCAACTAGCAATGGCACTCTGCACTCGGTATGACTGCTTTTCTTTGATATGATGGGCTTTTACTGAAGGTTGCTATTCTTGGCTTTAGCAAGTTAGCCAAAATTTAAAGAAGAGATAATGGTTTGCTGGTGGTTTGGGTTTTTTCTTCCACCTGTCACTTAAGCAGTGCAGGAAAAGGAAAAGAAAAGAAAAGATAAAGCTAGTTTGTGAGTTGGGTTGGATTGGGTTGGGTTGGGTTGGGTTTGATTTTTCTGTGAGCTGGACATTGAGCTTAGGCCCCACAAATGCCAGTAAAATACATTATCACTGAGCTACTCCAAGTGTGGTTTTCTAATGTACCATGAAGAACACATTGTCACTAAATAGGTTCTCAGTGCCTGTCTAACAAACTCATCAATAAATAGGCTTCTTATCTAAAAATGGTAGAACAGAAAACTTACTTAAGTGTCTCTAAAGTCCTCAGAGGTCTTGTCTAGTGAAAATGAATATAAACATCCAGAGAGTTATAAAAATAAAAAAATTGTTTAGTGAGCTAGCTACAGTGTCAGACACTTGTAGTGCCAGCTACTTAGGAGGATGGGGCAGACGATCAGTGGGGCCCAAGAACTTGTGAGCAGTCTGAGCAACATAATGGGAACCCACCTTAAAAAAAAAAAATGAAAAACTTAAAGAAGGGTCCTTCTTGCATTTTAGTCACCTGCACTGGAATTTCACAGACCCTTAGGCCAAGACATAAGCTTGAGTTTTCTTAATTTCACATCAGGGGCTTTCTCCACTCTCAGGCCTCCTAGCTGAACTTTAGTTTGTCTTTTTGGGGATCCGAGTACTAGAAAAATTCACTAATTTCTCTGGAATTATATAGGCAAGCAAGCTGAGCATGATGGCCTATACCTATAATGCCAGCAGTTGGGAGGCTGAGGAAGGCGGATCACTACCTGAACTATATAGCAAGACCCTGTCTCAAAAAAACAAAACAAAACAAAAAAAGCATAGGCAAATATATGGTTCATACTAGTCAGACTGAAGTAAACTGTACTGCCACCTCCCACCCATTATTCTTTGTCATCTGCTTTATTTCCTTAACAATAATTATCAGTTATACTTCTGCTCTTTGTTCTCTTTTGTTAATTTTCTATCTTCCTCTATAGAATGTAATTGTCATATCTGCCTTGTTCACTGCTTTGCACAGCAAGGTACCTGGTGCATATTAGATACCTGATAAATATTTGTTGAAGGAAGAAATGGACTAATGTTTCTGAGTAGGTGAAATCATAGCAAGTTAAAAGATAGCTCTAACCTCCCAAGTTTTCGCTGTATCCATAATGCCCATGTTAACATCTTTCCTAGAGAACTTAGCCAAATTTTTAAAGCTTTCCTGGAAGTTTTGTCAATTTTTTCACATAGCATTCTGATCTCTAATGGGAATACACTTGCACACTTAAGGATTGTGTGCGGGTGTACATTTTAAGGAAAAATAATCTATGAAAGATTTATTTTTATTCCACTGTTGCAATAATCTATCTGGGGAGAAACATAACCCACTTGGGTTTAAAGGACTTGCCCTGTTTTCACTAAAGCAAAGTTGCTCCATGTTGTGGGATATTTCTTCCCATTACATCTTCTGAAAGGCTTAATAAAGTCCAGGGAGATAGCTTGGTGGCATAAGCACCTACCTGACAAGCTCCTGGTCCTGAGTTGGATCCCTGGTCCCAGAAGAAAAAAAAAAGTTTGTAAAAGTCATAATAATCTCCACCTGCTTCAGGTTCTCTGTGGTGCCATTATGATACCATAACAAATTCTAGAAACAAATGTCCCTTCGGCTCCTTCAGCAACACTGTTTCAAGCCAGTCTATATACAGTCTATTTTCCCAGCAGAAAAGGAGCTATAAATGGATATTGACTCTTTACCTTCTGACTCAAACTATGAGACAGAATATAGGACTGGGAGAGGAAACAGAAAACAATGTGGTAGGGCTAATGCCTTTTCTGAGGAATCACTAGGAGAGACCCGTATTACTTGACTTCGTGCTTACTTCTTGGTCACATCAAAGATAAACAAGTTTTAGTCTGTTTGCTCAAAGAGTTTACAAGCTGGGAGAGCAGACAAACCTTTATAGATCTTGGTGATAAGCAGCAGTGTATGGCTGGACCACATGTGATAAACTTGAAATTGCTTACTTCTGACTCATGAGCACACATTGGAAAATGTTACCTCTCTCTGAGTTTCTGAGAGAATATAATGTTAAATGCTTCCAAGGCCTCCTCCAACTTCAAAATCTCATAGTTCTGTGAAATAGTATCAGAAAAGCTAGGTGGTAGATAAACAGGAAAGAAGTTTGCCCCAGGAAACAAACATCACTTGAGTCACTCCTTGAAGAATTTTAACCCGAGATAAGAAGGCCCCTGAACAGGAGGAAGAGGGAACCACCTGTGGCTGATGGCCGGTGGATGTCATCAGCTCAGCTAGAGCTATTGTATCCTCTTGAAGGGGGCATTTTGTAGTTTCATCTCGTTTTCCTTCCAGCATAGGCAGTCTTGTGGAGATGGTATCTCACCCCTTTCAGCTGAGAGATTACATTTTGAGGATGAGCTGCTAAAAACACCAAAAAAAAAAGTGATACTCAGGTACAAAATAGCTTAATGAGACCCCAGTACTTAACCTATTTGTAAATAACACTGAAAAAATTTAGAGAGGATTGTATTTTTTCACATTGAAAGCTGGCTGAGAGACATGAAGCAGAAATACACATTCTGGTGACCAAATATTTTCTTCCATTATAGATGCCAACAAAAGTATTAGTCATCTAGAAAACATGATTGGTACTATTGTTAGTAACAGTGTAAGTGAGAGGTGCCTTATAAAAGATAAATGTTTTTAAAATACAGTCTACTTTCTTTATATAATAAGGAACTATACATGAGTATTAACTCTTTACCTTCTGACTCATGCTGTGAGACAGAATATAGGACTGGGAAGGAAAATAGAAAAGAATCCCAGAATACGGCCACAGTGTTTAATGGAGAACAGAATACTGATACAGCTACTCAGTTTATAGGTAACTGGAGCCTATATAGAGCTTTCTATGGTTACACTGCCAATGACCCAGTGACTGTTTCATCCATCCTCTTATTTTCATACCTTACTTAAAACCCATCCAGGGCCGGGGAGATGGCTCAGTGGAATAAGTGCTTCCCTGGCAAGTGCAAGGGTCTGAGTTCAATCCCCTGTTCTGCCAAAAAATAAAATAAAATAAATAAATAAATAAAACCCATCCAGTTTACAACCTAGCTTTTTAAATTTACATAAAATTAGAAAATATAATCATTCCATCCTTTTTAACACCACAGGTAGAAATGTGGTATATGTCCTTCCTCGTTTATTTATCTATTTTTAACTTACAAGTGCAAATTGAGTATAGTTATGGTATACAACATGATGTTTTAAAAGTTAACATTTGTTGTCACTGAGTGATCTTCCTAATTAAGACTTTAATGTCTACATATTATTATATTAGCAAGGGGCCAGCGAGATAGCTCGGCAGTCTAAAGTGCTTGCTAGTTAAGCTTAGGCAAGCACATACGGACCGCAGTTTGATCCCTGGCACCACATGCCACACCAGGCCTGTCCTCAGGGGTGAGCTGAGCCAGCCCAAAAAAAAATTTAAAAATTATAGTAGCAAGTTCACTTAACTATTCTCTTATACATGCAGTATTTAGGTTACCTCCATATTTTCACTCTTCTAACTAATAATTTTAAAAAATACTTTTATACATATGGTTAGCCTTCCATATCCCTGGTTTCCACAAGTATGGATTCAGCCAACCACAAATCAAAATGAGTTGGAGGAAAAGAATCTTAATTGAACATACACAAACTTTTCTATTATCAATATTCCCTGAACAATACAGTATACAAACTATTATGGCTGGGATGTAGCTCAGTGGCGCAGCACCTGCCTGGAAAGGTGAGATCATCAGTTTGATTCCCAGTACCACAAAAAAGACAGCTATTTGTATAGCACTTACATTGTTTTAGGTAATATAAGTAATCTAGAGCTAGTATATGGAAGAATATGCATAGGTTATATGCAGATACTATGCCATCTTATAAAAGGGATTTGAACATCCATGATTTGATAATCTGTAATGTGTCTTAGAACCAGTCTTCATTAAATATGAGAAATAATTATTTAGACATGCCTTATGTAATGACTGAATTTCAGTCCTGTGACTAGGTTGTTTCGTGAATTAATCTCTAAATGAGGAATAGTATGTTATTACACTACAATATTCAGAACAAAGAAATAGTTAAAGGCATGCTTGCTTTGGCAGCACATATACTAAAGTATTTAACAATGATAACTAAATGTTCGATTGTTTCCTGTGTTCAGAAATACATGTATCTTGAGAGAGTGTGTGCATCTGTATGGTGTAAGACATTTCTACATGTCAAAAATCAAAAGGTTCAAAGGTAATGTCACTTCTAAAAAGTTTGTTTATATCTCAGAATTTACTTAACTCCAAATGAATCAGTTTTATTATCACCTGTTGGGAACAAA